GACTTGCACTATAGTGAGTAGTGGGAAACTCGCAAGATTCATGTTATAGCGAGTAGTCCGTCATAAGCTAAACTTGCGTTATAGCGAGTAGTCCGTCATGCGCTCGACTCACGTTATAGTGAGTAGTCCGTCATGTGCTAGACTCACGTTATTGCGAGTAGTCCGTCACCCGCTAGACTTGCATTATGGTGAGTAGTCTGTCACGCACTAGACTTGTGTTATAGCGAGTCGTCTGTCACACACTAGACTTGCACTATAGTGAAAAGTGGGAATCGCGCAAGAGTCGCGTTATAGCGAATACGCCGTCATGCGCTAGACTCGCATTATTGCAAGTAGCCCACCATGTGCTAGACTCACGTTATAACGAGTAGTCCGTCACGCGCTAGACTCGCATTATAGCAAGTAGTCCGTCACACCCTAGACTCGTGTTATAGTGAATAGTACACCCGCTCGATTTGCGTTTTAGTGAGAAGCCCGTGACGCGCTAGACGCACGTTATAGCGAGTAGTCCATCATGCGCTAGACTGGCATTATAGCGAATAATCCATCATGCCCTAGACTCGTGTTATAGCGAGTAGACCGTCACATTGTAGAATCGCATTATAGCGTATAGTTCATCACCCATTAGACTTACATTATAGTGAGTAGTCCATTATATGCTAGACTGGTGTCATAGCGAGTAATCCATCACACGCTAGACTTGCGCTTTAGCGAGTACGTCACGTGCTAAACTTAAAGTTATAGCGAGTAATCTGTCACCCGCTAGACTCGTCGGTCACGTGCTCGACTTGCGTTATAGCGAGTAGTCCGTCATGTGCTAGACTCACGTTATAGCGAGTAGTCCGTCACACCGTAGACTCTTGTTATAGTGAGTCGTCTATCACCCGCTCGATTTGCGTTATAACGAGAAGCCCGTCACACGCTAGACGCACGTTATAGCGAGTAGTCCGTCACCCGATAGACTCGCATTATAGCGAGTAATCCATCACGCGCTAGACTTGTGTAAAGTGAGTAGTCCACCATGCACTAGACTTGCGTGAAAGTGAATAGTCCATCATGCACTAGACTTGCGCTATAGCGAGTAGTCCATCAAGCGATTAACTTGCATTATAGCGAGTAGTCCGTCATGAGCTAGACTTGCACTATCGCGAATAGTCCGTCGTGCGCTAGACTCGTGTTTTCGCGAGTATTCAGTCACACGCGAGACTTGCGATATAGTGAGTAGTCCATCACTTGCTGGACTTGAGTTATAGCGAGTAGTCTGTCAAGCGCTAGACTGGCATTATAGCGAATAATCCCTCAAGCCCTAGACTCATGTTATAGCGAGTAGACTGTCACATGGTAGACTCATATTATAGCGAGTAGTTCATCACACCCTTGACTCATGTTATAGAGAGTAGTTGATCATGCGCTAGATTCACGTTATAGAAAGTAGTCGGTAACGCGCTAAACTAAAGTTTTAGAGAGTCGTCCATCACGCGCTAGACTGGCGTTTTCGCGAGTATTCTGTCACACGCTAGACTTGCGATGTAGCGAGTAGTCCATCACGTGCTGGACTCGAATTATAGCGAGTAGTCTGTCATGCACTAGACTGGCATTATAGCGAATAATCCATCATGCCCTAGACTCATGTTCTAGCGAGTAGACCGTCACATGGTCGACTCACATTACAGCGAGTAGTTCATCACCAATTAGACTTACGTTATAATGAGTAGTCCGTTATATGCTAGACTGGTATTATGGCGAGTAATCCAACATGCGCTAGACTTGTGCTATAGAGAATAGTCCGTCACATGCTAGACTTGCATTATAGCGAGTAATTCATCACCCGCTAGACTTGCGTTATAGCGAGTAGTCTGTCACGCGCTAGACTTGCATTATAGCGAATAATCCGTCATGCCCTAGACTCATGTTCTAGCGAGTAGACCGTCATATGGTCGACTCACATTATAGCAAGTAGTTCATCACCAATTTGACTCACGTTATAATGAGTAGTCCGTCATAGCTAGACTGGTGTTATAGCGAGTAATCCATCACGCGCTAGACTTGTGCTATAGAGAATAGTCCGTCACGCGCTAGACTGGCATTATAACGAATAATCCGTCATCCGCTAGACTCGTGTTATAGCGAGTAGACCGTCACATTGTAGAATCGCATTATAGCGTGTAGTTCATCACCCATTAGACTTACATTATAGTGAGTAGTCCATTATATGCTAGACTGATGTCATAGCGAGTAATCCATCACACGCTAGACTTGCGCTATCGCGAGTAGTCCGTCACGTGCTAAACTTAAAGTTATAGCGAGTAATCTGTCACCCGCTAGACTCGCGTTATAGCGAGTCGTCGGTCACGCGCTCGACTTGCGTTATAGCGTGTAGTCTGTCACACCCTTGACTCGTGGTATAGCTAGTCCGTCAAACGCTAGACTGGCGTTATAGCGAGTATTACGTCATGCCCGAGACGCGTTATAGCAATTAGATCGTCACACGCTAGACTTGCGCTATAGTGAGTAGTCGGAAAAGCGCTAAATTCGCATTATAGCGAGTAGTCCGTCATAAGCTAAACTTGCGTTATAGCCAGTAGTCCATCATGCGCTAGACTCGCGTTGTAGCGAGTAGACCGTCACACACTAGACTTGCACTATAGTGAGTAGTGGGAAACGCGCAAGATTCATGTTATAGCGAGTAGTCCGTCATAAGCTAAACTTGCGTTATAGCGAGTAGTCCGTCATGCGCTCGACTCACGTTATAGTGAGTAGTCCGTCATGTGCTAGACTCACGTTATTGCGAGTAGTCCGTCACCCGCTAGACTTGCATTATGGTGAGTAGTCTGTCACGCACTAGACTTGTGTTATAGCGAGTCGTCCGTCACACACTAGACTTGCACTATAGTGAAAAGTGGGAATCGCGCAAGAGTCGCGTTATAGCGAATACGCCGTCATGCGCTAGACTCGCATTATTGCAAGTAGCCCACCATGTGCTAGACTCACGTTATAACGAGTAGTCCGTCACGCGCTAGACTCGCATTATAGCAAGTAGTCCGTCACACCCTAGACTCGTGTTATAGTGAATAGTACACCCGCTCGATTTGCGTTTTAGTGAGAAGCCCGTGACGCGCTAGACGCACGTTATAGCGAGTAGTCCATCATGCGCTAGACTGGCATTATAGCGAATAATCCATCATGCCCTAGACTCGTGTTATAGCGAGTAGACCGTCACATTGTAGAATCGCATTATAGCGTATAGTTCATCACCCATTAGACTTACATTATAGTGAGTAGTCCATTATATGCTAGACTGGTGTCATAGCGAGTAATCCATCACACGCTAGACTTGCGCTTTAGCGAGTACGTCACGTGCTAAACTTAAAGTTATAGCGAGTAATCTGTCACCCGCTAGACTCGTCGGTCACGTGCTCGACTTGCGTTATAGCGAGTAGTCCATCACACCCTTGACTCGTGGTATAGCGAGTCGTCCGTCACATGCTAGACTGGCGTTATAGCGAGTATTACGTCATGCTCGAGACTCGTTATCGCGATTAGACCGTCATCCGCTAGACTTTTGCTATAGTGAGTAGTCGGAAACGCGCTAAATTCGCGTTATAGCGAGTAGTCCGTCATAAGCTAAACTTGCATTATAGCCATTAGTCCATCATGCGCTAGACTTGCGTTGTAGCGAGTAGACCGTCACACACTAGACTTGCACTATAGTGAGTAGTGGGAAACGCGCAAGATTCACGTTATAGCGAGTAGTCCGTCATAAGCTAAACTTGCATTATAGCGAGTAATCTGCCACACCCTAGATTCATGTTATAGCGAGTAGACTGTCACGCGCTAGACTCGGGTCATAGCGAGTAGTCCATTAGGTGCTAGACTTGCGTTATAGCGAGTAATCCGTCACGTGCTAGACTCGTGTTATAGTGAGTAGTCCGTCATGCGCTAGACTCGCGTTATAGCGAGTAGTCCATCACACACTAGACTCGCGTTATAGCGAGTAGTCCATCACACGCTATACTCGCGTTATAGCGAGTAGTCCATCACACACTAGACTCGCGTTATAGCGAGTAGTCCATCACGCGCTAGACTGGCATTATAGCGAGTAATCAGTTCCACCCTAGAATCGCGGTAAATAAAAACCCCGTTAAAGTGAAACTACGTCATGTAAACGCCACGGAATAAACAGGGATTCACTGTATATGTATTGCACATACATTATTGTTTTTTCATGCTTGGTAACCCATGATAGCCATACACATACCCTTTGCGCGTGGAGCTCATTCCTCGTACTCTGTGGAGATTGTATCGGGGTGAGACTAGGCGTGTCCTTGTGTGAACACGGCTGGCAAGGTCACACACACATATGGCGACTTTTCACTCTCACGAAGGAGCCCAGACATTCCGGCATTGTTGGAGCGGAAAATAAACGCGTGTCTTGAATGGAGCAACGTCAAAAAGAGACAATGTTGGGACGGAATCCCAAAGTGGAGCGGTGTGAGAGGGAAGACAGAAAGAGAAGTGCTGTGACCTTCAGTGTGGTGGGTGGGTGGGTGAGTGGATGAGTGAGTGAGTGGGTGAGTGAGTAGGAAAGTGAGTGGATGAGTGGTTGGGTGAGTGGGTGAGTCGGTGAGTGAGTGGGTGAGTCGGTGAGTGAGTGGGTGAGTCGGTGAGTGAGTGAGTGGGTGGGTGAGTGAGTGAGTGTGAGGCTGAGTGAGTGAGTGGGTGAGTGAGTCGGTGAGTGAGTGGGTGAGTGGATGAGCGAGTGGATGGCTGAGTGGGTGAGTGGTTGGGTGAGTGAGTGGGTGGATGGGTAAGTAAGTGGTTGAGTGGTTGAGTGGTTGAGTGAGTGGGTGAATCGGTGAGTGAGTGAGTGGGTGAGTGGCTGAGCGAGTGGATGGCTAAGTGGGTGAGCGAGTGGATGAGTGAGCGAGTGGGTGAGTGAGTGGGTCAGTGAATGTGTTGTTGAACATAGCACGGGTGAGACATAACAACAATATACGTACACACTTATTAACGCGCACGATCATTCCCAGAGGCGCCAAGCCAGGCTCGCTCGAGGACCGCGCGAGAGGGTGGTGTGGGGGCCTTCAGCGACTCCTCGGGGTCGCCCGTGGAGTGGACGCGACTTCCAACGTGCAACGAGACTTAGGTGGCCGTGGGTTCCGGATAGCGGGGGCTCCCACAGAGAAAAGACGCCCCGGCGCGGTTGACAGAGCGACCGTCATTGTCCCATAGACCGAGTCCCCCCCCCCCCCCACACACACGCGGGTGGGAGGAATCATCGAGTGACGTTTACAGGGAACAGTAGCCCGTGGTAGCCATAGTAGCGACAGAAGAGCGACAAGGAGGTGTCTTGACCATCGATGGTGAGCGAGCGAGTGAGTAAAGCGAGTGACGGATCATCGCCAATCATCCTGACTGCTGCTGCTGCTTCTCAACTCTAAATTTGGTTTGGTGCAGCAATCAGCTGCACCCCCCGAGATGTGACAGCAGCAACCGCAGCCGGATTCCCGCTGCATGCGCTAGAGGCTCAGGCGTAATGCGTGGTTAAGTCTGCGTTGTAGGGAGCTCGCTGCTGACAGTCGCCGCTTTTTTGTGGAATCTCCGAGTTCCCCGAGGGAGAGGGGGGGTGGAGACAGACTCGGAGCGTTAGACAAAGACACGGGGTAGAGACAAACAGAGGCACAGACTGAACTTGTGCGTACAGCGACACAGAGAGTCACGGGGAAAGTCACGGCGAGAGTCACGGAGAGAGACGCGGAGTCATGGAGAGAGGCACGGAGAGAGTAATAGAGAGAGACACCGGGAGTAGAGAGGCAAGGGGACGCGAATACAACCACCACCGTGGCCCCCACCACCACCACCCCCCCCCCCCCAGGTACAACGACGCGGGGGTGGGGGCTCTGACACCCCCCCCCCCTGGCCTGGCAGGTGGCGCTCCGGGAGGTCGCGGCTTAGCCGCTGCCAGGAGTGAGAGCCGCGACTCGAGGAGCCCAGGGCAAGCCGGAGAGCCATCACATCCTGGGCTCGAACTCAGCTTTTTCCATCCCCTCTGGGTTTACAGGCGCAGGCCGCGCTCGCTCGCTCGCCCGCTGCTCACCTGATGAGCGGGGCGGGGGTCCGGCGCTTGGAGGTGAAACTCCACGGAGCTCGCGAGCGGTGACGAATCCCGGGACCCGGCGCCGGCCCCGAGTAGCGCGACGCTGCTGCGGGGACTGCGTGCGGTGGTGATGACGGGGAGAGGAGGGGGTCAGGAGGAGGAGGGGGAGGAGGGGGAGGATGCTGCTGCTGCTGCGTGGAGCGAGAGGAGGAGGGGGGGCAGAGCTGCCACCTCGGACGTGCGTCGGACGTCTTCTCATCAATGCCACTGAGTGAATTCCTGCCGCACAGGAATGCGCGGCATTCGGGATACGTGGAGGGAGGGGGGGAGGGCGCGAGGCTGGGCTGGTCGCAGCCGTCCGCCTGCGTGGCTGACCTCGCAACTGCCGCATAGCAGCTCCGAGTTGAATCAACAGCGCCGCGTCTCTCTCGCTCCCTTGCAGCGCATAGGCACGGAGACAAAGACCCACCCCGCCGTGTAGCCTGTAAGAGACTCTTATGCTAAGTGCTGTGTTAGCGGCACCTATGACAACCGACACGGAGCACAACAGCGGGTGAAGGGGGGGGGGAGACCCCACGCCCGACCGCCTTTGTCTCCCCAGTGCTGATGTTTACTCATGGACTACTGCACCAGGCGCTCGCTTTTAAGGCAGGCATACGCAAGACCGGATCAGACATTCCTCACTGTGAGCGTGAATAGAACTCGAATCTCGGCATTTTGTAGCGCAGTGCGTGCACCAAACGCTGCGCCACCGCTCCCCCGTGCGTCGTGTTAACGCAGCGCGCACAGCCCCCGAACGGGACTCGCTCACGGCCAACACCAGTGACGATTATCTGAACCGGTGCTTGGCTTCCCCTAGGTCGACTCGGCCTCAAATGAGTGCCTGATGAGGTGGGTAAACATCGCCACTAGGGAGACAAAGGCGGCCGGGCGTTGTGCTGGCCGCCTACCCCTTCGTGTGCCGTGTTGGCCTTCATAGGTGCTCGCTAACAGCACTTGCCTCAATAGTCCGTTAAGGCTATTCGGGGACATTCGCCTTCGTGGTTGAGTGTGATGGGTGAGTGTGGATCCATGTGAAAGATCTGGACAAAGTCCCATCGGTGAGCTCCTCCGGCAGGCAAGGCTGCGTTTGGTTCGGTCATGCCCAATTAAAAGCAGCCCAGCCACCGCATGCCTAAACAGCTTTTGTTCGGCCGGATCGAGGGGGTTAAACGGACGCGGCACGGGCTAGAGAAGAGATGGAGTGATGTGGTACAGGAGGACGTGGAGCTGAGTAGACTTGCCGATGACTGGTACCAGCGGTGTCAAGATCGGCCTCTGTGGAGGAGGCTCGTGAAGGACGCTGCTACTGGGCAGTTGGAGGCAGTCGCCCTCCAACAACAACGGAGGGCAGAGGAGCGACGCTCACAACACCGAGCGGAGCGCCGGGTGGATAGAGCTCAGCAAGTTGGCACAGTAGGGGGCACAGGTGGTGCATCGGCTAGTCATCCCAGTCAGTCGACCCGTGGCACCTGCGTCTGCCCCCTGACCTGCCAGCGGGCGTTCGACACTTCACGTGGCCTCAATGTGCACATAGCCTGGCACAAGCGCCGTGGTGACGTCACCGCCACTTAGTAGCGAATGGCGGTTGTTGTTGGTGCATTGGTCTCCGTGTTGCTCTGTGCGTCTTGTTGCTATGCCTGTCTCTCTGTGTCATTTCCTATTGCCCATTTCTTTGTCTGTGTCCCGATGTATATAGCTCTTGTCTGTATGTTTGTCTCATTGTCTCCGTTTGTATTTGACGACAGCTGTATGCGTATCTTAGTCTCGCTGTGCTCTCGGTGTCAATCTCCGTGTCTCTGTGAATGTTGAGTCGGCTCCATCTGAATAGCCCCCCACTCGCTCCTCAACATTACCGTCTGACCCTCCCGCCCCCTTGCAGAGGTTCCCGTTCAATTCCTGGTTAATACTGCAGGATGCACCGTAATAATACTAAAAACTACTAAACACGTTTTTTTTTATTTTACCAGGTAAGGCCCACTGAGCTATATAGCTATTTTTCAGAAGTGACCTGGCCACAAATAATAGCTCAACGATGTAGCTTATAATCATGTGGAAATGAATAGCAGCCAAATACTCTCAACGTCTCAACGTATGTTTAGAAATGTGGAGGGAAAACCAGAGGACCCAGAGAAAAATCCACGCGGCCGCGGGGAGAGAGACATGCAAACTCCAAATACACGTGTCAGGGTCGGGATCGAACCCACGACCTAATGTATACCAGGCGAGGTAGTTAATATCTCGCCAACGTGGCGCGCCATCTGCCACTGTGTGCCGTCCTCACACGGTCCAATTTTGCCAAATCCTAAAACTTACACTGCAAATTACTGAACTGAGACTCCATATAATGCAGCAATCATCGCCCCCTGATGGTAGCCAACTGGTGCCCCCAGGACACCCATTGCAAACGAGGCTCTTCTTACCCTGTGCCTCTCTGAGTCTTCACCCTGATTACATGGCGTCGACTGGGGAACCTGAATCCTCCCTCCGTGCCACGCTGCCCCCGCAAACCACACGCGCTTCTCGTTGCCCGTGTTACCCAGGGAAAGCCTCACCGAGTCTCAATTCTCTTTCTTTCTCAAGAGATTGCTGCCAAGCCAACTTGGCCGTGGGAGGCGATGTTGCTGATGCTGTGCGTCATCCCAATTGAGTGATTTGCAGTGCCATTTTTCAGCATTGGGATTTTTTTTGGTCAATGCCAGTTCCATTATATGCACCGTGTGTTAGTCTAGCTACGGGCGGAAACCGGAAAAGCCTGAGGAAATACATGCAAAACAGGGGGAGAGAATACAAACTTCGCAAAGAAAGGCGCCTGCGTCGAGAGTGGAACCCAGGCTCTGTTTGCTGCTGTGAAGCGCAGGTGTCACCACCGTGCTGCCACCGCCACCACTCTGCCACGATGCTCAATGTACGTATGTGTGTTAAACTTCTTTTGCGCCATACGCAGCCAACCGTGCTCATCGGAGGTGCCCAGATGACCGGAACCGTGCCCTCACGCCACTGGTAGTCTCAGGTCACCGACCCTGCCTTTCTTTTGTGTTTAGTTCGTTGTCCTTCCTCCGCACCTCCGATTATCACGGTTGGCTACATACGGTGCGAAAGAAGTTCAACGTACAATAACAACCGCCATTCGCCACTAAGTGGAGGTGACGTCACCACGACGCTTGTGCCAGGCTATGTGCACCTTGAGGCCATGTGAAGTGTCGAACGCCCGCTGGCTGAGATGACCGAGATGGCTGGCTGATGCACCACCTGTGCCCCCTACTGTGCCTACTTGCTGTGCTTTAGCCACCCGGCGCTCCGATCGTTGTTGTGAGCATCGCTCCACCGCCCTCCGTTGTTGTTGGAGGGCGACTGCCTCTAACTGCCTAGTAGCAGCGTCCTTCACGAGCCTCCTCCACAGAGGCCGATCTTGACACCGCTGGTACCAGTCATCGGCAAGTCCACTCAGCTCCACGTCCTCCTGTACCACATCACTCCATCTCTTCTCTAGCCCGTGCCGCGCCCGTTTAGCCCCCTCGATCCGGCCGAACAAAAGCTGTTTCGGCATGCGGTCGCTGGGCATGCGGGCTACATGACCCAGCCAACGCAGCCTTGCCTGCCGGAGGAGCTCACCGTTGGAACTTTGTCCACATCTTTCATACACACTGCCACACTCGCGTCTGTCTGGTCAAGTGCATCGTTGCTACCAATCGCGGTGCGTAAACACACACACACAACAACACATCTCAGAATAAATGACGAGGGAGAAATGTATTTTCTTAAAAATATAAAATAGAATCATGTTGCGTTGTAGTCACTGCAATGTGTAGGAACGTTTAAAATTACGGAATCATCAGACTCTTGAGAGTTAAACACGCAACTGATCGCGCTGTCTGTGGAACAGGCGCTGGAGGAATTGTCCAACATGCAACGTCAATCTGGGTTCAAATCTTTTTCACAAATCACTCAACAAGGCAATCATCGTTTCCTACTGGCAGTAGCTGCCAGATCACGCGCTTTACAAATTAGACTTTCAGCCAAGAGTCGGCAACCTGTGGCTCCGAAGCTGCATGCGGCACTTTAAGGACTGCTTCGTGACGTAATGTATGTACGCAATGTATGTACGCAATATATGTACGTAATGTACGTACGCAATGTATGTACGTAATGTACACATTCACGTGCATTGCGGCTCTTGAAATATGGAGGGGGGGTTTTTCCGATTTTGAAAAAAAAAATCAGTTCTTGTTATTTTGGTTTCCGACCCCTGGTCTCTCTGCTAGCCTACCCAGGTTCTCCCTTAGCTCGACAAAATCAAAGCGACACTTGGACCGATTTCCTGACAGCCTCTGAATGGATTTGTAGTGAGTCGGTGAATATTCTCTCTGTGCTTCTTTCACGATTCTAGCGCCTCTCTTACAGTGACCGTGGCGATGCCTCGAGTTGGTGGTGGTGAAAATCCACGTTCCTATATCATGGGTGAGGCACTCAAAAGACCTCCCTTGTTTGATCGACCCCGAAGAGATTGAATGGCTTAGTGTCACCCATACCGGGATCCGAACATGGAGACTCCGACTGGAAGCCTGGCTCTCTATTCACTCCAACAGAGGGCACCGCCATATTAGTGTTATAGTATTTACTACACATGGTGTATGACATGTTATTTGTTGCCATGTTTGAGTATATTATATATGTTCGGTATTAAACTGCTTGTCTCTCTACTCAATCGACACGACATTTAAATGCAGCATATTTATAGCATATATTGATAAGTGAACGTGTTGAATGCCTGTTAATGTAATATGTATGTTCAAATTCTTTCGCACCGTACGTCATCAACCGAAATCAGAAGTGCTGGTTAGACTCCAGCTCGTTCAGAAAGCAGCGAATAGATGCCCTCACCGTTCCGCGAACAAATCACACACCGGCTATCTTGTCTTTACACTGGCTACCTGTCAAGTATCGCAGGGACTATACGACCCTGTTGCTGACCTACAAGGCACTCAACTGGTTATCCCCGCAGTATCTACAGGAAGTGATCCATGTTTATATTCTTAAACGAGGTCCCCGAGATCTTCATATCGCCTTCTTCTAAAGACTCCGAGGTCTAGGCTCCGTTCCTGAGGTTATGGGGCTTTTGCTAGTGCAGCTCCCAATCGTTTTGCCTTTGCTAATAAGACAATCAAAGTCGTTAGAAATATTTGAGTACGTCTTGAAAACCCGCCTTTACCCCCGTCTAGTTCTGTCCATTTATCCTGCAAGTTCTGTTTATTTCCAGCTGTCTATACACGCGGCGCAATTATTACCAAACATATACATTATTTTCTATTGTCAATAATTAAACATATGATGTATCATTTATTTTAAGGTGCATCTTGAAAATGATTTAATGTCGTCAATATATAAGAATATACTAAATAACAGTATTAAATAAGTTATCGAAAAACAATACACAGTATGCCATTACTTTACATGAGTAACATGTTTTAAATAATAAATAAGTTTAATCACTTAGTTAATCCACCGCTGGAGTTAGGCCTCTCTCCATGCTGCCATGGGGGTTGTTTCACCATCCTTCACCACGCTGGTCAGTTACAGTTCGTTCAAGGGAGGTAAATGGCACCGATGTTGGCTGTGGCCTGTAGTCGAAATCACGTTGGCGTGGGCTCCAGGTCGCCGCACCACCCCAGCGTTTTGTCCGCGCGTTGTGCCCGCTCGTCCGTGCCGCGTGGATGGATCATCTGCAGTGATCCCACGCACCGTGATCGCGTTCCGCGGGCACCGTCCACCAACACAGCAGCAGTGTCGGTCACGAGGCTGGTTATAAACTCACCCGATGACTACAGACAGCGCGACAAACTCGACGCGTCCCCCAAGAACACTTCGTAATATATGGCCTTAAAAAGGCAAAAAAGTAAATGTATAATTTTGGCAACGTTTCTGTAAATGGTGCTTCTCAATAGGACGTAAAGAAAGGGTCACTGCCCGGAATGTTTCCTTCTATACATATACCGCAAGTTCTCGCTTAACACGCGGTGTGCAGACAACGCGTTTTCGCTGCAATGCGGTTCTTTCCTACAACGCGGAACGCGCACCGTTATAGCACGGAACGCGCATCGTTATAATGCAGAACGCTCATCGCTACGTTATAACGCGGAACGCGCACCGTTATAACGTGGAACGTGCACCATTATAACACGGAACGCGCACAGTTACAATGCGGAGCAGGCACCGTTATACACGGAATGCACAGCGTTATAACACGGAATGCGCAACGTTATAATGCGGAACGCGCGCTGTCATAACGCGGAACGTGCACCGTTATAACGCGGTTTCTGAGCTTTCGACGATTAATTACTTTCTTGAGCTGTGCGGCTGAGTGGTACAGTGAAACAGGACGTGGAATGATACAGGAACGCAGCGGCGTACCCTCACTTATTTGTTCCCAGATCACTGCGTGTGCTTTAATCTATTTATTTATGGATAAAAAAAGTTTAACTGAGTGCGTTTTCCACTGAATGCATTACCACGTTAAACGAGGACGTACTCGATGTTTTTTTTCCTTTTTAGGCCACAGTGTTGTGATTGACAAACGTGTCTTTGTTGGCTGTGCTCCTGCACCTTTACCGACTTAACATCTATCCAGTTCCACGCACGAGCGTTGGGGCAAGGTCAGCTCACTACCGATCGTGGGTCAGGGCCTCCACTCGCCAATTACAACACCATGGGAGACAGTAAATTGATCCCAAACACCTGCGTTATAAACAGCAATATTGATCCCAATACCGACGGCACAAGGGCTATAAATACCACACACACACCCATATATATAAACATACATTGCACGAATTCACCACACGCTGGTATAGAACAGGCGACGGATCTGTGACTACATTGGAATGGAGGGGGGCAGGAAACGTGCCATGCTGGACCGTGCCAACAACCAACAACGGCCCGTCAGGGCAACTGCGTCTTGAGGAGGTAAAAGTCGCGCACAGAGCGCGCGAGCCAAGCGCAGAGGTCGCGCGCCACCACGAAGCCGCGCACCTTCCTGCTCCAATCTCCCGCCGAGGCGGCGGCCCCGGACAGAGGGTCCGAGGCCGCCAACCCCTGGAGCTCCCCGGCGAGCTGCGCGCGACCCTCGGTGCCCGACCGCAGCAGCGCTAGAGCCGCGCGTGCGCTCATCGTGAGCGCGAGGAGCTGGGAGCGCATAGTCGCGAGGCGCGCCCCCAGCTCGGCACGGCCCAGCCCGGTTTGGTCGTCGGAGGCGAGCAGCAGGAACTCGCAGAGGGCCCTGTAGGCGAGTGCTAACTCGCCGAGGCGCTGCGCCGGGGAGAGGGCGCGCCACACCGAGTAGGAGATGACGGCTGTGGGCAGTCCGCTGAGCTGCAGCTCGGGAGCGGAGAAGGCTGGGTCGCTGAACGGGGCGCCCTGCACTGATATCTGCGGTTGGTGGTGGCAGTGGCGGAGGCAAGGAGGGAGAGATGATTTGGAGTGAGACGTGGTGGAAAAGACACACGAGAGAGACAAGAACAGAGAGGTGGAGAGAGACGTGGAGAGAGACACGAAGAAAGACAAGAACAGAGACGTGGAGAGAGACGTAGAATAAGACACGGAGAGACAGCTTTAAACCGCCTCTACTCTAATCTAGATTTGAAGTTTTCGTGACAGCAGGGATCCATACTCTTTGGTTCTTTCAGTAAGGTCACGTAGGTATAAAATAAAATAAATTAAATCTCGACGCTTCGGGCGCAACAGAAGCGTCCGTAAACAGGTGGGACCCCACAGCAAGAAACAATTGCTGAAGTGGGCAAAAGGGCTGCTGTTACCTATATAGGTACGAGAGGGGGGAGGAGCCAGGGAGGAGAGATAGAGAGGGGGGTGTGGGGTAGGGGGAGTGGAGTGCTGCCAAGTGGAGCGCTACTAGAAGGGATTAAAGGGCGAGCAGAGAACAAAATGGCAGGGGGGGTTGGAGAAGGGAAGAGAGCGGGGCTGGGAGTGGGGAGTTGAAGCAACAGGAGATGCGGATATGAAGGCAACACCGTAAAGCATTTAAGGTTTTACCTGGTTAATAACATCCTTACAATGATTGCTCAATTTGTATCCATCTTCTTGGTTGAAGTTATGTCTATGTTTATATGTCTGGATGGCTTCATGAACAAACCTTTGATAGTAAACCAAAGGTTTGCAGAGCACCTTGGTCTCGGAAAAAACAATATCATGAGAACCCACAGCGTTATAGCAATGGTCAGCCACGGCGGAGGTATTAGTCCTGCCGTGTTTCAGATCTGCCTTGTCCTCGCGAACACGGTTCCGAGATATGTCATTTCGTTTCCCCAATGTAACATTTTCCACAGGTGCAACTTAGTTTGTCGACTCCAGGATATTGCATGTCAGGAATGACATCCTTCACAGATGGGATTTGATCATGTATTTTGTGTACTGTACTGAATCGGACCTGGATCTTGTGTTTGTTTAAGATTTTGGAAATATTTTTGATAATGCCTCAGTAGGTTGTTTCTCCATGGTTGGAGAAACAGCTTTGCGGATAATGCGGTCCGAATATCGATTCATCTTAAGGGCCTGGTGTACGTGTTCCAGTTCACTGGCTAGGTGGTGTTGGTCAAAAATGCAGTGGGCCCTATGGTGTAGTGTTTTAATTAGGGAATTCTTATGTGCCGGATGGTGGTGGGAATCAGGTTTCACATAGGAATCTGTGTGGGTGGCTTTCCTGTAGACAGAGTGTCCCAAAGAGCCATCAGGTCTCTTCTCAAACAAAACATCCAGGAATGGTAGCTTACTATCCTTCTCCTCTTCCATGGTGAATTTGATGGATGGGTGTATGGAATTAATGTGGTTGAGCAATTGGTTAAATACTGGCAAGCCATGTGGCCAATTGACGAAAGTGTCATCCACATATCTCTTCCACAAGGAAGGACGTAGGGTGGATGTCTGGATGGCATCTGTTTCAAATTTCTCCAAAAAAACATTCGCTGTCACTGGTGATAAGGGGGAACCCATGGGGGCACCTTCATTTTGTTTGTAGAAAGTGCCATTCCAGGTGAAGAAAGTGTTGGCAAGGCAGTGCCTAACCAGAGTAGGAACATCAGGGTTCAGTCCATGTTGGACTAAATGTTCAATTATTGCTAAGGTGTCAGGCACAGGAACCTTGGTGAACAGAGAAACCACATCAAAGCTGATGAGAAAATAATCTGCGGACAGTGGAATGCCCTTGATTAGAGAGACCAAGTGAGCTGAATTATATACTGCTGAGGTAGTCTTGCCAGTGAATGGAAGCAAGGTATCAGACAGAAAACGGGCCGGCTTGTAGGTAGGTGAGTTGATAGTGGAAACGATGGGCCGCAGTGGAGTGCCTTCTTTATGGATTTTAGGAAGACCATTCCTGACATGCAATATCCTGGAGTCTACAAACTAAGTTGCACCTGTGGTGATTGTTACATTGGGGAAACGAAACGACATGTCTCGGACCGTGTTCGCGAGCACAAGAAAAATCTGAAGACCAAGGTGCTCTGCAAACCTTCGGGCCACTATCAAAGGTTTGTTCATGAAGCTATCCAGATATATAAACATAGACATAACTTCAACCGAGAAGATGGACACAAATTGAGCAATCATTGGAAGGATGTTATTAACCAGGTAAACCCTTTAATGCTTTACGGTGTTGCCTTTATATTCAGATCTCCTGTTGCTTCAGCTCCCAGCCCCGCTCTCTTCCCTTACCCCCCCCCCCTTCCCCGACATTTTGTTCTCTGCTCGCCCTTTAATCCCTTCTAGTAGCGCTCCAATTGGCAGCGCTCTACTCCCCTTACCCCCCCCCCCCCCCCCTCTCTATCTCTCCTCCCTGGCTCCTCCCCCCTCTCTTACCTACATAGCCTCTTGTTACAGAAGCCCGTTTGCTCACTTCAGCAATTGTCTCTTGCTGTGGTTGTCCCACCTGATGATGGACGCTTGTGTTGCGCCCGAAACGTCACGTGATTTAATTTATTTTATACCTACGTGACTTTACCGAAAGAACCAAAGAGTACGCCTCTACTCTGTTTCCCTCACTGGCTTAAGAACCCGAGCACGGAGGGTAGTAGTGGTAGTGGTGGGGGAGCGATAGTGCAGAGGTTAGTGCGCTGCGCTGCAAACCCAGCGATCCAGGTTCGATTCCCTCTCACGGGCCAACACCAGTGACGAATATCTGAACCGGCCCTGGGCTTCCCCTAGGTCGACCCAGCCTCAAATGAGTACCTGGTGCTGTGTGTAAGCATCGCTACTGGGGAGAGACAGGCGGCCGCTAACAGCACTTGCCCCAACAGTCTGTTAAAAGCTATACGTGGGGTCTTTGTAAGATGGCGTAGTGCTTAGCGCGTCGCTATGCTTCGACCCCGGCAGAGAACCCGAGTTTATAATTCCCCACTCACGGCCATCATCAACACCGGCCTATCCTAGGTCGACTCAGCCTTAAATTATTACCTGTGTAAAATATCACCACTAGACGGGCGTGGTGCTGGCCTACCCTATCCAGCAGTCTGCTAAGGCTATACGGGGAATCTTTGTCGTTTTGGCTGCTATACATTTCCACGTGATAAGCCACTTTTCGTTGAATTATCTTTTGTGGCCAGGTCACTTCTGAAAGAGAGTCATATAGCTCAGTGGACTTTAACTGGTAAAAAAAATAGTATAGATTAGTTGTGTCTGATGTGGTCAGCACTCACGTAGGCGGTGTACAGCTCCTGCGACTCCCTGTAGAGGTAGACTGAGTGGATGTACCCTGCGCTAAGCAACTCGGGCAGAGTCGCGTTGGCCGAGCCCTGCGACTGGAGTCGCGCGGGGGAAAGGAATACCAGGACCACGGCGAAACCTGCAGTCAACACCACCACCAAGATCATCATCATTACCACCACCAGCAGCAGCATCAACATTGCCACCACAAGCATTATTATCATTATGATCATCAACATTACCACCACCAGCATCATCAACATTACCACCACTATTAACACCACCAGCATGATCATCAACAACATTACCAGCATCATCAACACCAGCGTCATTATCATCATTACTACCAGCAGCAGCATCGTCGCCATCATCAAAGACAAATGCAACATAAACATAATCAAACTAAACATCTACTCCACTACCTCTAGCACCATCGTCAACAAAGAAAAATATCCCCTGTATAGCCCTTACTAGTCACATTGCAATGTTCCTGAAGAAGAACGTTTTAATCAGTGTGCACTGCCTGTGGAGAGTCATAACAAATTTAGGGAAACTGAAAAATGGGAAAATATGCACGCTTGCAGTTACATCGAGAGACAAGAGGAACGCGTAGAGTAGAGAACACACGCAGGTCGGTGGTGGCATCGTCCTCACTATTAGGACAAATGAGTGCAGCGCTTGGGCAAGACGCGCCATGGCTAGACGACTCCCATCACCGAATCATTTCCACGGGGCATTATTAAAAGTATCCATAGCAGTAAACTGTCGAAGCGTCAAACGAAATGAGGGTTTAAAATAGCCTGCGATGTCGTTCGCAATAGCGGACCATTCGGTCCCGACGTTTAGTTCGCTGTCCTTCCCCCCGCACGATTATCACGGTCGGCTATATGTACGGTGCGAAGAAAGTTCAACATACATACACACACATACGTCAAAACGCTCATGACCACGCGTCTAAAGTGTGGACACAGTAAGCGCGGCCTTCATCGGAGCGCCGCGTGTCAAGGCGTCATTGCAGGAGAAGTTTGCGAATCCCATTTTCAAATTGTAAAACACGGGGCTGCACGCGGCATTCAGCTCGTTCAATTAAGTATGTAATCCGCGATGCAGTTCGCGTGCACATTTCCATGCCGACGTTTTGCGCGCGCGTCGGCAGATTAATCAAGGAGATGCGTCGTTAAGCTGAGGATCTCTCTAGGAAAACAAGAAGAACGGCGACGACGTTGAGTCGGTTGCTGAAATCCGACGTGACCAACGTAGACGTTAAAAAAAGGTTACGCATAGAAGAATACCTGATGATGTAGGTAGTGACGAGAAGGAAACTGGTACGATTTGGAAACATATGTAGGATAGACAACAGGAACATTCAAGGTGTGTTGTTTGGAAAAAGGGAAAGAACCGGACAGAGAAGACGACATCATAAGCGATTGGTGCCAGCAAGATGTGGCACTACTTGAGCATATTGGCAAGGCAGAGGAAAGTGGAAACAATTGTCCAAATGTGCAGTGGACACCTACGGGTTATCTGCCCATGGATGGTGATGATAAGGGATTGATTCGTGAGACACGGGCAATGCGGGGATCCGGAGTCCACGAGTTTGTTGAATTTTCACTTAAAACTTTCGTGACTGCAGGAATTAATATTCTTTGTTTCTTTCGGTAAAGTCACGTAGATAGAAATAAAAATAAAAAAGTGGTTTAAAAATAAATAAAAGTGGCTTTATTTTTATGATTTATATCTACGTGACTACCGAAAGAACCAAATAGTTTGTTGAATGTCTCGTGTTCCTCATTGGTCTGCGTTCGTTACGAATACACGTGCGCCTTCCCAATGCAATCACCATAATCATCGCCACAATCGCCACAATCTTTTGAACGCGACGAACAGTCGTGCTTTCAAGTTGCTCAACGACTACGAATGCTCAGCGATCGTGCACGCCGCCGTAGAAGAGCCCCCGTGTGTTGGCGGCATTGCCACGGAAGCAACCTGGGCTCCCGTCTCTCCCGCGATGTTCGCATCGCAACAACGACAATGATGGCCCGTGGCTCGCTTGCTCAGAGAGGGCAACTGCGCGGCTCCAGACCCCGCACACACAGCCAGCCGGTGAGCCGGCGCCGATTTACGTTGCCCGAGTTTTGCGGTCCTCGATATAGAGCACCGCGATAGATAAGCAGGTAATTATCTGTCTTCTCCATAATTATGTCTGTCTCTCCAAATATATTACACAATACGGTGACTCCCACGGCATTGTGCGAGTGGACAGTGTCCAACGGCGTTGATTGATAATTGCTGCTGCTAATTGTGGAATGCTTTGATGTTGTCTGCCGGCCGCGTCGCCCCTTTTACAAAGAGCTTCTTAGCTCACTGGGCTTTACTCGATGGGAAATAAACTTTTGAAATTCCGACAGTGGCCATGGTGTCAATGACTTGTAATGTTGTAGTGGGTTTACTCTCCAACACACCAGTGTGTTGTACTCGTAACAAATTCGCATGTTTGTTTTTTCGTGACAAACCTTACGAATTAGCTGTGTCGGGTGGTGGCTGGTTTAACGACACATTCATATTTACGCGATCTAACCCAAAAACACCTCTATGATGGTGTCAATGTGGGTCGTGTAAAAGTGGGGAAAAAAACAATGATCTGATATACAGACACTATGAAGTACACATACTGTCTGCTGATCTACTCTTGTTATTTGTTATGTTGTGTTCTCTGTGTCAATGTGTTATCGGCCAATGAATGCGAGCGCGTGCAGAGAGAGAGAGAGAGAGAATCGATGACCCAGGCTTTGAATCTTACCCAGCACGGCGCGCGACGACGGCATCATCATGAACATCTTTTCACCGTGGTGGCGGTCACGGTGGCTTCTGCTCTCCGCATCTCTGCGGCGTTGCCCTTAAATAGTCCCCGCCGATGCCGCCGCTGCTACCGAAACCGCTGAAGATGCCCGTCGCACGCAGCTTGGGGTGTTTTTTCTCCGTCATCCCGAAACCCGAAGAGATCCGCAAGAGTAGCGGCCTCGCGGGTGGGGCGGGGGGGGGGGGGAACTCTCCTCCTCGCCCGCAGAGATTGACCAACCTCACCACCCGTGCAGTCCACGACCCACCCACCCCCAGCCCACGTCGAGAGCGCCGGGTGGGTGAGGGCCGAGAAGCCCCGCTCGCAGTGACCGTGGAAGTCACGCGGAAACACCGTGGGCTCCTATAGCGCGACACTGCGTACGGTGTGTGTAGTGGTCGCGTTAACCTGAACCGTCGGTGAGAATTTCCACAATGACTAAGCCGTGTCGGCCCATGGTGTTATACATACATACATACACCGTTCTGTTGCAAGTACGTGCAATATAGGGCTGCCTCAATATAATGGAGGTATTTTTTTCTTTGACGATGCGATATCAAATGTCCACGATATATTCACGCCACGTCGCGTTGTATACCGTGCTTCGCTGGACTTGGGTGACAATGAGAAACATTCTCCACGCGGTCTCTTTACCAGAGCGGAGGACGCAGAGTGGTGCGGGTGGTGGTGGTGGTGCCTTCACGGGTGTTCGCTTAGAATACTTGCCCCAATTGTTTTCTTTGTCTTTGGTGATGCTGGGCAGCGAAAACACAGCAAGTTGGCACAGGAGGGAGCACAGGTGGTGTATCTGCCAGTCATCTGACTCGGTCAACCCATTGCACCTGCTCAGTCTGTCCCGTGACCTGTCAGCGAACATTCAACAATTCAAGTGGCCTATAAACTAAACTATACACTTTTATTTGATCAGGTAAGGCACATTGAGCTACATAGCTCTTTTTCAGAAGCGACCTGACCACAAATGATAGCTCAACGAAGTGGCTCATCATATATAAATATATAGCAGGCAAAATACTCTAAACGCATGTTTTTAAATGTGGAAAGAAAAAACAGAGGCCTCAGAGAAAAATCTACGCAACCACGGGGAGAACGTGCAAACTCCCAATATATAGGCATCAGGTGTGGGATCGAACCCACGGCCTCCTGTTTACCAGGTGAGGTAAGTAGCATCTCGACACCGTGACTTTAAAGTGCACCTGGCCTGGCACAAGCGACGTGGTGACGTCGCCGCCGCTAAGTGACGAATGGCGGTTGTTGTTGTTGTTGTTGATTGTAGTGGGGAGCGGTAGTGCAGCGAGCGGCACTATGAACCCGGCCACCCGAGTTCGATTCCAGATCACGGACAACACCAGTGATGAATTTCTGAACCGGTCATGGGCCTCCCCTAGGTCGGCTCAGCCTCAATTGAGTACCTGGTGCGGTGTGTAAACATCGCCACGAGGGAGACAAAGGACGGCCGGGCGTGGTGCTGGCCACCCACCCTCTTGTGTACCGTGTCGGGCAATCATCGGTGCTTCTCGCTAACAGCACTTGCCCCAACAGACTGTTCAGGCTATACCGGGGATCTTTGGTAATGGTAGTGGTTACGGTGGAGGTGGTAATCCCGCCGTAAACACTCCAATTCGTGGTAAATGCTCACTGCGCAAAGCGCACTCTGTCAGAGGCGTAACAAATATAAATATCCCCCGTATGGCCTTAACAGACTGTAGGGGCAAGTGCCGTTTTAGCGAGCATCTATCAAGGCCGGAGCGGCACACGAGGGGGTGGGTGACCAGCACCACGCCCGGCCGCCTTTGTATCCCTAGTAGCGATGTTTACACACCGCACTAACAATATGAACATCGCCACTGTGGATACAAATGCAGCGCGCACACTTGTCAGAGGCACAACATGGTCACGAAGGTTTACGAGTTAATGTAATTTCTATTGTTAAGTTTGTTTTTTACAAATCTGTATAATTGTGGAAAGCGTTGGTGTTGTCTGCCGGCCGGGTCGGCCTTGAAAATAGCTTCTTTGCTCAATGGACTCTACTCGATTGGAAATACACGTCTTGTTCTTCAGTTTCTGGAATCATCATTCACGATGGTGAAGTCAAATCGTGACCACGCATCTAATGAATGACTCCGACTCAGGGCACGGTGTTGACTGAGTTAATTCATCGACGGTTGCGCGGGTTAAATAAAATATTTAACAAACGTTAAACTATCATACCTGTCAACCCCTTGTCAGTACCCTACCTTATTACAGATCAATTCAGACCTTATTGGTCACCCCGTGCTCTTATAAATCTCAATGTTCATCCTGCAAAGTCCCATTACAAGGGAGAAACACAATTAGACAAAAAATGACAGTATTGAAAAGGCTGTACGCCGTATAGACCTAAAAACTAAATTTCCCTGTACAATAATATGGGTAAACCGTATGGTTTGACAGGTGTGTAAACGAGTAACCTGAAGAGATGTCCGATATGTGGCGACACGGACGAGGGACACAACAATCATTGTGGATCTTACTCTGCGCGATTCATGCATCGTAGCAGCATCGCCATATCGCGGCAACCCTGGTTTGTTTACATTTCAAGAAAGCCTCAATGAGTCTCGAATCTTCCTCAGCAGTGGGTCCTGTCAGGGATTCGCCGTAGGGGGTCGATCTTGCTGTTGTGCGTAATTCCTGTTGAGTAATTTTCAGGACAATTGTCAGCATTGGGATGTTTTGTTCTCTCCCAATACCAGCTACGTTGTGCCTGTGTGTTTAGCTAAGGGAGGAAACTGGAGGACCCGGAGGAAATCCATGCATAACAGGGGGAGAGAATACAAACTCCGCACGAAAGGCGCCCGAGTCGGGAGTCGAACCCAGACCCTGCTTGCTGTTGTGAGGCGCAGGTGTCACCACCGTGCCACCACCACCACGCTGCCACGATGCTCAATGTACGTTTTTGTGTTTAACTTCTTTCGTACCATACGCAGCCAACCGTGCTCATTGGAGGTGCCCAGATGACCGGAACCGTGCCCTCACGCCACTGGTAGTCTCAGGTCACTGACCCTGCCTTTCTTTTTACACGCAGACAGGCACTAATAATGACAGTCGCTGCAAACGACTGAGTTCACAAGTATTGTATGAGGCCGGTGATAGAGCGTGTTAACACACGCGGAAACTGCCCTGCTGCATTGCTTCTGGCGTAAAACCCACACCATCTGTGATACGTTGTCACTCGGGGATATTTCCGTGGCAGGTTGTCAGGGCCCCGCCCGTAAATTGGGTGCGGGGCCCGGGGCAAATCCCACCGTGTGCCACCTCTCCCCCGGACGCCTTCAAACCAACGCGAGTCGCCGTAAACTAGGGACGGCTCTTCAGGGGGCACACAGACAGCATGGTACGCGCAGAGGGAATGCTGTCCACGTGAAATCTTCCAGTTCATCTGCTGCACCAGAGTCGGTTGGTGCCTTACCCACCCCCTCACCCCATCAACCCCGTGTCGTCAGCAGGGATCCCCTTCGTGTCGGGAAGCTTCGGGGTCGGGTCGGGGGGGTGCAGCAGCAGCCGCCGGCTTCATTTGTGAGAGAGCCGGACCTGAAACCGGAACTGAAACCACGGGGTGAAAATGTCTCCCGCTCATACTGCATGTTTCGATTGGCAGGTTTCATTTTCTAAAAATATCCACCCCTTGCGATGGAAGGCGCCGCCTCGCAAGGGGATTTTCTTTTCTATGAAAGACCTGCGGCATCGCCACCACGAAAGATACAGATCCCTCGTATACCCTTCACAGACTTTCGGGGCAATTGCTGTTAGCACCTATAAAAGCCATCCATCACCATCTTGCCTACCATCACTACCACCACCAACAACAGCAACCGCTGTTCGCCACTAAGCGCGGTGGTGACATCAACAACAGGAAAATTCTCACATCTCCTTCGTGAGTTGAAACTTAAAGACAAACCACAGGAGTGTGATTGTGGTCATGCAAAACAAACTGCGGACCATACGGTAAACCCATACAGATACATAGAGACCTATTGTACATATAGTTTTGGTGATCAGTACCTAACGCCTGACTGTACGCTGTGTGTAACGCTGGGTAGGCTATGTGGATCCGAGTCACGTTACAAATTAGCCAGTAGAATTTCTGCACTACGCTGACACCATCTGGAATGCCACCTCATACATTTTTGAAAAAAGGAACAATTGTAATGTTGATTCGAAACCGCAACCCCAAAAAAGGACTATGCAATAACACACGTCAGGTGATTCGTGAAATGCACCGTAATTTTGTTGTGGCTGAAATCATTTCAGAATCTAATCGTGGAGATATTGTCTCCATTCCCAGAATTTATCTGGCACGGTCTGATGTGAGTTTACCATTTATTTTGAAGCGAAGACAATTACCTATCATTCCTGCATTTACTATCACTGTCATTAAGTCAACCTTTTCAGTATGTTGGACTTTATCTCGACGAAACTGTTTTTTTTCCCATGGCCAACTTTATGTTCCTTTGTCAAGAAGCAAAAATCCAACGAACATCGAAGTGCCGATTCAACAAAATTCATCTCAAGGAAAACTTATGGGAGATGATCTTATTTTACATCAAATGTGATATATAGAAAATAATTATTTAAAAAAATCAGTACAATCTTTAAATTTGAGTATTCTCACGAATACATACAAAAATAATAAATCACATCACTTTCTCTCTCATCATTTTATCTCATCACTTTATTTATCTCTCGATGCAGTCGTGTAGCATTACAGGTGCGATTCGCGGATAACGAGGGAATACTGTAAACCACTGTGGTCTGTGCTCCTTCAAAGGAGGAGGCTCGGCAAAACGACACGAACTCCATCATGAAGCCCTCTCGTTGTGGCCAGCAGCAGACCTCGACATTGACATTCAGCTTTTGAACTTATTGCTGCCACGAGAAAAAGTGGAATAGAGTTGCATCAATGGATCCGCTCACGGCCACGAACACCGCAATCGCATCTTCATACGAGTGTTTGGGATTAAGGCTCCTTACACAATGATCTGTGTCGTGAAGACCCTCAGCCACCCGACACAGTCAAACTAATTACATCGTCGCGTGTGGCACAAAGGGGTTTAACGCGACAATGAAAATTGCTTCAGCTCGCTGGTGA